GCTACGCTCGAGAATGTCGAAATGACGTTACTTTTTTACCACTTTGCTGCCTTCCCCTTTCTTTACGTCACTCTCAAATTGTCAGATTACTGGAATATACACTTTTTAGCATGTAATCAACTCACCCTACCTTAATCTGACGCGCTCGAGAATTTCTGATGATCAATTTTTTTTACTAATCTGATCCTTCACCGGCGGCCTTATATATGAGGCTCATATTTGGTGGAGGTACTTAACCAAGTACAAGGTATCCCCCTGAATATTAATCTGCTGCGCTTTACTAAATTCTGAAATCTCCGCTTGGGCTCCCCTATGACTAGGAGGAAAGGAAGGTTTCATATTTTTGCAGAATATGCTACACCTTCCATAATGTTGATCAAAGAATGTAAACTTTCACGGCCGGAGATAACTTGTCAGGGTTGTTTCCTGGTATTTTTGGCCATGGCACGCAGGTTTTTATGCCTGATGTAACAGTCAAAGTGCTCGAGAATCGCAGAAACCGTTTCGGCGTTGCCTTTGTGCACTTCGACCGTTACATCATCGCCTTTGATAATGTCTACCGCAGTAGTAGACAAAACGTCAGAGATAAAAACCTGCTGAACACGGCCAAGAAACACGGAAAATAGCTTTGATAACTCATTACAACTCCAATTTTTGATGAAGGAATTATCTAAAATCATTTCGAAAACAATAATCAGTATTGATATATACAAAAGATAAATAACTACAGTACACAGTCAAAAACTGAAATGGGCCCGCTCTCAACCTTTATATTATTGAATTATTCCTTTCTTCAAGCGTCACAGTTTTGCAAAATATTCAACTTAATAAAATGTACGATTGTGAACAAATTTTTAATCGGCCGAGGTTTTCAGTGTGAATATTCTTCAGGTTGAAGGCCGTGGATTTTTGTTATTTCTTCCTGACGTTTCGAGTGGCTAGCTTCTTCAGAGGTTTATACATCTTGAGTTAATATCTCCGATGACTGGATATTACGGCTACGTAGGTAGGTAGGTCTAAAGTGAGTGGTTCTATTCGACCCTCCACCGCAACCCTAAAGGATTTATTGTGGCTCACACCTATTCACACTCGGCCAAATAAACCCAGCTTCTTAACAAAGCCGATTAGTTGGTATGGTGAGTGGTCTTTCAGGTCAGATGGTGAGAGTACGGATCTGCCGAACTCGAAGAACCTGATTCGGTCCCCAGCGGGGCAGGCACAAGGTATATGCTCTGCAGTTTCATCATTTTCCAGACAGAGGCGACACACACTATCTTCCGACAGTCCAAGTCTCTGCATATGATGATTCAAATGACAGTGACCTGTATGAAGGCCTGTTAGACATCGTAGTTCATTCCTACTGTAGTCCAACAACTGTTTGGAATCAAGCTTCGAAGGGTGAATAAACGCCTTGGAGTGAGCCAATCCTGGAAGATTCTGCTAGAAGTCCATGAATCTTCTTGCCATCCAGGTGTTCACTGTTTGTTTGGCAAAGCCCAAAGCGATGCCAATGACAGGTTCTGGTCCAATGAAACCGCTTGCAACACCCTCCTTTGCAAGAGAGTCAGCAGCTTCATTGCCTCCCAGGCCAGTATGGCCTGAAAGGCCTGTCCGAGAATATTTTTATTGACTTGTGAGTGAGGTTGGATTTATCCAATCTCTCCGCACACAATTCAATATCGTGAATTTCCGCTTGAAATACAGTCGCATAAGTTTCTAGGCGGGTTGATATCTCTGTCCTGGGTCTGCGACTGAAAACACCTGCACCAGAACCGGAAGGTGTTTTTGATCCATCTGTGAACCAACAACTATCTGCTCTTAATATTTCCTTCTCCCGGAGGATCCAGTCCTCTCTACTCGGGAATAGTACTTAATAAGGCAGTTCGTAGTTGACAGCTGGAGGCATAAAGTCAGAGGTCATTTCCAGAATGCTGTGACTTCCAATGTCAACCAACAGTCTGTTGCACTCTGCATTGAATTGATTTGTGCAATTGGCAATGTGCACAAGCCGTTATGCAGTCCATCTATCCTCTCTTTCAAGAAAAATGTGGAGAGGAGGTAGATCTAGAAGGGTCTCCATGGCCGCTGACGGTATGGTACTGATGGCACCACTGATAGCCAGACAAGCCTGTCTCTGTAAGCCAGAGAGCTTCGCTTGTGCCGTTTTCTGTAAAGCCTTCGGCCACCAAGCAATTGCACCATAAGTGATCATTGGTCTGACATTCATCACATAAATCCAATGGGTTTGTTTGGGACCTAAACCCCAAGTTTTACCACAAATCCTTCGACATGTCCATAGAGACAGTCTGGCTTTGTGTAAAACTTTTTCCAAGTGAGCGTTCTAGGCGAGTTTTTTATCAAGGACAATGCCAAGATATTTCACCACCGTTCCAAATGGAATGACCACACCATTGAGGGAAAGTGGCGTTAGATCGTCCAATTTTCTTTTCTTGGTGAAGGGGATTAACACAGTTTTGCTGGGGGGTAGACAGATATCTACTTCCTCAGGCACCAACTGTGAACAACGTCCAACGCGCTTTGGAGGATATTACAAGCTACCCTTCCTGTCGTGAACCTTGCCAGGATGACAAGGTCATCTGCATAAGCTTGAAGATCAACTTTTCTTCTGTCGAGGGCATCAAGCAGACTATCCACCAGGAGCGACCACAGAAGGAGATATAGTACCCCACCTTGAGGGCAGCCCCTAGTGACCCTGAACCTGATAGCTTCGCCTTGAAGAGTCGTAGTTGCAGTTCTGTTTACTAGCATGGCATAGATCCAGCCAGTTATGGTCGATTCTATACCCTTCCTAGCCAGAGACATTCATATAGATTTAGGTAGTGCATTGTTAAATGCTCCTTCAATATCAAGAAATACTGCAACCGCAGTCGGGTGTGATAATACCTGTATATGGATTAGGTAAATTGTCAATAATATCTGATGACCTTTTTCTACCTGAACTCCTTAGAATGTGATTCCATTTTCGATTGAGGTTCACGGATTCTTCTTTTCTGTTGAAATCATCCGTATGTTTATGGATTTCTAGTCCCTCCCGTACCAGTCAGGTATGGTATCCCTGGTCGGGGGCAATGAGTTCCGTGTTTTCAAACTCATGCTCCTTCAACCTTGTTCGCATGAATCTTTTAGTGATTCCGATGTTTATCTTCTCACAAGTGCACGATATGCGATAAACCCTTGCTGCTGATAGTGAGTCTTAGTGGGTTTGAAAACCGTTTCAATGTTGTGTTTCCCCAAGACTTTTCCAATTCTGTCCGTGACCCTGGGGATACGCGCGTGCCTGAGCCTTCTCCTCGTTCTGAACCGTGGAACTCTTCAGTTTCGTGGCTTTTTTGATCTCGGGTATACCGTATCCATTCGATCTCAAGGTCACTTGAAGATGTTCCAGTTCTTCCTCAGATGCTCTGGTCCACATATTATCTGAGCCCGTTTCGTTAGAGTGGAGATGACTCCTCTCTTCTGACTAGGGTGAACCTTTTCCTAGACGACTTGAACGCTCAACACTCAAGCATCAAGTTCACTATGGAGATCGAACAGGACCAGCGGATAGCATTCTTAGATGTACTAATCGAACGATACGGTGCTACTGTGCCGAAAACCTACGCACACGGATAGGTACTTGCACACACTATCGAACCACCGCACCACACTAGCCAAAAGAGAGTCTTCTCCACTCTTACAGAACGAGCTTAGAGAATATGTGGACTAGAGCATCTAGAGGAAGATCTGGAACATCTTCATCAAAGCTATGAAACTGCAGAGTTCTACGGTTCAGATGGTTGCACAGGTATATCTACCTTATACCTCAAGGGTCACGGACAGAATTGGAAAACTCTTGGGGAAACACAACATCAAAACGGTTGTTTTCAAATCCACTAAGAAGATACGACAAAGCCTCAGGCTGGCTGAAGTCAAAAGGGGCCCACAATCAGCAGCGGGGGTTTATCGCATATTGTGCACCTGTGGAAAGATATACATCGGAACCATGGGATAAAGGTTGAAGGAGCATGAGAGAAATTGCGGACTAGGCTAAACGGACAAGTTGACTTTGACATAACACGCACTCAGTGAAGGAAACCACAGGATTATGATTGAAAACACGGAACTCATTTCCCCCGACCAGGGATACCATAGCCGACTGGTACGGGAGGCACTAGAAATCCACAAATATACGGATAATTTCAACAGAAAAGAGGAAGCTGTGAATCTCAATCGAATCCCATTCTAAGGAGATCTGATAGAAAAAGGTCATCAGATATTATTGACAATTTACCTATAGTATCATGATTTTCAATTGAAGGTAACTCATATACAAATTGAACTGAGAGCTAACGGCAACAATATTAAATGTTAGAACTAAATTCTTACCGGGGTCATTTATATTTTCTATGACCCGGGTAAGAATTTAAAATAAAATAATTTCAATAATGGAGATACTTTTAATTCAAAAGCAAATTTGAATCGAAGAGATATTGATGAAAAGCAGGTCATATCAGAAAGGATCAAAAAATTCCAAACCAATGAATCAATGGCCATATCTGTAAAAAAAGGATTATTTATATATATATGATAAATTTAATTTTCTTAATAAACTTACTTTTGGAATTCCCACTCCCTGTTATCTAAAGGACAAACCTGTCTAGTTTTCAACCATCTTGAAATGCAGTGGAAATGAAAGGCGTGCTGGAATAGAAATAAATAAATTATACTGGTGTCAGTCATAGTGGAAATTTTGAAGACTTTCTCTGGGTTCTTGATGTGTAGATATCAACTTCAAAAACAATAGTATCAACTTAAAGTTAAGAATGTGACTACTGTCAGAAATAAATGAGGTGGATTTCTGGAATCCANGGCATATTAAGAAAATGTAATCCGTTTCTACTACTATACAATAACTATAACTACCTGCTATAACAATTTTTACGTAATTACCTATGTGTTCAATAAAAAAAAATATTATTTTGGTACGCCTCTGCAGAGGATTATCCGTTGGTCACTTCAAGTGCGTCGTTGCTAATGAATCACCTTCAATTGAAAATTGTTATAGTATAAGCCAAGTACAGGTATTAGCACGCTAAACTACCTAAGGGTCAGCATAATTACGCGTTACGTAGCCGTAATATCCAGTCATCGGAGATATTAACTCACAACAATAACACAAATAATATTAATCCATTAATGCAATAGTGTAGAATATTTTTTGTTAGTGCATGTTTAGCTAACACAAACAAACTGGATGGTTTGCCCACTCAAGAGCATGCCACGTATAATTGTTCGTGTGAACAACATGGTGTGCTCAAATCCAAGCCACAAACGGACATCGTTTGGCCTTGAGAATTATTGATAGTCATTTCAAATGCCAATCCACTTGGAAATTGCACACGTTTAAAATGAATTGGCACATCTGTAGGTATAATAGGGATTCGTGGTATAAATATATTTTCAGCTCTGAACTTGCCACTTAAAATGCTGGCTTCGACAACGTTTTTCATTATTTTTAATGACTAATCGCGTGCCGTTGCACCGCAGTGGTGGATTCAAATAACGGAGCGATCTAACCTTCAGTTGTAAATTATGCGGTGGCATAGTTGGCAAATCCAATAAGTTCAAAAACTCTCTTGGATAACTCACAGCTTCCGTGGCATCGCAAACTCTATCCGATGGATAACCAATAATAGTGGCCGAGAAGAGAGTGAGAGCGAGAGAGACAGAAAACCGACTTCGTTCTCATCCCTACTGCGAGCTGTTCACTGATTGAGAAGTGGCACTGGTAGACGTCTGGCGTGAATAACTATGATTACATTTATTAAAATAGCTATTGGAAAATAGGGGTTGGTGGTAGAAGGGTAAAAATTGAGGATCATATGTACTTTTCAATGCCACGTCATAAAAAAATAGAAACGAAAAAATGTTTGGGGTGGTGGACCCTTATCACTTAGACTAAAACCTAATCTCATGTGTATTGGAGTGTTGAGTAATTACTTTCTTTAAGTGTCACACTCTTCAAATATATTCAATTATTGTGAATTATTATCGATGTTTTTATTCATGCGACAGAAAAAAAAATCAGAATGAATTTCATAAAAAACGATGAAATTTTAAAGGGCATGTCGACAATAATGAATGTTCCTTTTCAATATTACACTGCAAACAAGTTTCATAAACCTTTAGTTAGTCTAATCCGATGTTAAGTGCATTATTATGTGTGTCCAAATACATGTGAGTGCATCAGTTTATTATTGGTCGTTTCAAAAGATTTGTCAGTTTTTATGTAATATCTCAGTGATACTTCGATACTCAATTTTCGGACGGTGATTCATGAAACGTGTAGACGAGCGTTGTTGTGGAGCAGGATCAGACCTCTACTCAGTACCGGCTACTGCTGACGCAATTTCGGTAGGACTCTACTGTGGCGGTTTGACTCGGTTACAGATAGTGAAGCCGACCACCATACAGTAACCCTGGTCTTTTTTGGTGGGTTTTCGTCTTTGAGAAGTGCCAGAGTGGCTCATCGGTGCAAAACCACTATCCTGAACGTCTCCTAATATCTTAGAAGATCCACTTCTCGTCACTCGTGACCATCGAGTCCAAAAAGGTTCGTTTTGGTTGCGCAAAAGCAAAGAAGAACAGGCTTTGAAACGTGGCAATTTCTGTAGATCGTTCAAATCGTTCGATATTTTTGACCTTTCCAATACACTTCAAACCATCAAAAACCTCATGGGAGCTGACGCTCAGTTCATCCGCCATCACAACCGTTTGTGATAAGTCAGTCCTGAATTACTCTAGGTCTGCCACTTCGAGACTCCTTTTCGAAGCTGAAATCTCCGGAACGAAATTTCGTAAATCAACGTCGAACACTGCGAACACTATATTTATTTGTAGTTATCTACAAACTAATTAACCAACTTGGTGGTCCATGGCCTGACAGAAATTTTGTCAAATGGTCCCGCATGACTATAAGGTTAAAAACCACTGGCCTAGACTCGCCAAACACACTCTCTTTGGCAACCTTGAGGTGTATCACGGTAGCATCCGCGAAGGTTTTGGAAGGGGCAGCGACATTACTGTCGCTTCTTCGATCTTCTTGGAGTTCCCTCCGGTGCACAAATGGGGGAGCTTTCCTGCAGAGGCAGTCGGTTCCTTGCCTTTATTCAAGGCGGAGCTCTTGGCGCCCGCCGAAGGAAGTGCCCTTGCTGTTGGAGGTGACCTGCTATGTCCAGCCTCATCCCAAGCGGTAGATTGGGGTGGACATTTCTGTTCATCCCAGCCACCTCCTTAGATTGAGGTGAGCACTTCTGTCCAGCCTCAGGATTGGTTTTTGTTTTTGTGTTGTTTCATTCACGTGTGTTCCCACGAGTAGCAAGGAACGAGTTGGTCATCTCTGGCAGAGCCCCGCATTATCAGAAGTAGGAGTGGCGCCCCTACTGCGCCCCCCCCACTCCTCCACTATTCGTGGTAGCGAGTGGGAAAGAGACGTGTGCGACGTGATCGACGCATAGAAGGATGGAATGAGCATCGAGTAGATTCATTTGATAGATAAGAGAGCGGTGGAATTACAAAATACATGTGAGTGCATCAGTTTATTATTGGTCGTTTCAAAAGATTTGTTTGTTTTTATGAGTCTACTTTAAACTGTAATATCTCAGTGAATATTTATTGAATTTGCCAACGTAACACAAGTCAAATAATTTCGTCGTCATAAAAAGTTATGTGGTCAGGATTCGATGAAGTCGACGAAGGCCAGTTTTGTCTGGTCCAGATTCGCGAAGGTTCCACCGCTGAGAAAGTTATCGAAGTGCTTGAAAAGGTGGTAGTCGGTTGGCGAGAGATCTGGGGAGTATGGTGGATGAGACAGAACTTCGATACTCGGTAGGACTCTACTGTGGCGGTTTGACTCGGTTGCAGATAGTGAAGCCGACCACCATTAAGTAACCCTGGTCTTTTTTGGTGGGTTTCCGTCTTTGAGAAGTGCCAGAGTGGCTCATCGATGCAAAACCACTATCCTGAACGTCTCCTGATGTCCTAGAAGATCCACGTTTCATCACACGTGACCATCAAGTCCAAAAAGGTTCGTTTTGGTTGCGCAAAAGCAAAGAAGAACAGACTTTGAAACGTGGCGATTTCTGTAGATCGTTCAAATCGTTCGATATTTTTGACCTTTCCAATACACTTCAAACCATCAGAAACCTCATGGGAGCTGACGCTCAGTTCATCCGCCATCACAACCGTTTGTGATAAGTCAGTCCTGAATTACTCTAGGTCTGCCACTTCGAGACTCCTTTTCGAAGCTAAAATCTCCGGAACGAAATTTCGTAAATCAACGTCGAACACTGCGAACACTATCAATGCCAAGCGTCTATTTAATTTGTCTGGTTGTTCAGGCAGCTCTCTGGTTCAATTTGACTTCATTGATACAAATTTTCCGACATCTTAAAGTAAACAAGCTGAAAAAAGGAGTTCTGGCTCATTGCTTATGGAAAAACACGTGCTAATTTGAGCAGGTTCATTCTCGCGATTTTTGGACCTCAGGTCCAGTTCACACAGAAGGGTCAAACGTCCGCGCCTAGTCTCTGTCAGACGTCCATTCTGTGTGAAGTGGGCTTAGCCACTCTTCCACTTTTGCGTCATACCGTCGACCAATCAGAAGGTACCGCGCGTACAGCGGGAAATTCAAATCAGTAGATGAACAAAGAGACTACGAGCTCAAAATCCCATGTATTTTCTTATGGAGCTGAACTTTTTGCAATTTTCATGACATCCGATTGGAACCTTGTGAAACACCCAACTCGGAGTAGGTGTGTTTCGGGTGGAATGAGTTTCGGATATATTCAAAGACCTTGCCCTTCTTGGGACTCCACCTCACCCCTCGGGTCCCTTTTTCACATACCAGTCACGTAGTCATCGGTAGCTGAGGGAAATTAAATTAAAAAAAGTTCATCGGTATGAGAATCGAACCCAGGACGTCGGCGTGGTAGGCTTTGTCCTTAACCTCGATACCAACGGGGGATACTGGAAGTAATTGCAAATTGTTGATATTTATGGCGGTTGTTTTTTCGGGACTAAAATTGACTCATTCTCTATACTTGACCACAATTTTTGATTTCCGTAGAATTTTAGGAAAATTGTGACGTCATGCAGAAGATAGGGAAATATCCTTAGATTTAGTGGAGAATTGATGTTTCAGGACGCTACAGCGGATTTAATTAAAAAACTATACAACGCTTTAGATTCTAAAGACTCCGCCATCTGTCGATTCGTTGATCTCGCAAAAGCATTTGATACCGTCAGCCATCCGGATTTACTAGAAACCCTCGAGAATATCGGATTCAAAGGATTCAGGCTCTTCACAAATCNTTTTAGCAGGTAATTAACTCACCCTACCTTAATCTGACGCGCTCGAGAATTTCTGATGATCAAGTTTTTTTTAGTAATCTGATCCTTTATCCCTCACAGGCGGCCTTATATATGGTGCTCATATTTGGTGGAGGTACTTAACCGGGTACAAGGTATCCCTCTGTATATTAATCTGCCGCGCTTTAGTTAATCCCGAAATCCCCACATGGCTCCCCTATTATAATAAATAGAAGTTATAAAGCTTCAAATCCTTTTTGTGACATATGTTAATATGTTTGTGACATATGTTAATATGTGTGTGACATATGTTAATATGTGTGTTCAATTGACTGTTGATAAAAAAATTGCATTGTAGGCG